GCTTGATGTACCATCATTGTAATTACATATAAAACTTCGTCTATACTCTAATAAAAAGTTCCCCAGACCAAAGAGGTTATCTTAATACCAAAAAAAAAAAAAAAAATTTTAATTTTATTTAAAAAATTATAAAAACTTTTTAAAATTCCATGCAAATTTGTCTAGAATATAGTTTAAGAGATATGATTTGCTCTATCGATTTATCTATAAAGCTATCATTTTGCCAATATGTCTTGTAAGCTGATATAAATCTAAATTGTATCCTATAGGTATCTTATTTGTGCCAAATATTTGTTTCAAATCAGGTTCATATCAGGATATTGTAATATCGATTTGAACCCAATTTGCTTTATTTCAACCTATATTATATAATTATAGCCCCCTCAAATCTGGGTTGATAATTTACTAACTCCGGTACTCTAGGAGTTAATTTTGCCCCAGAGAAGGGAGGCTATAATTATGTAATAAGTGATAGTTCTCTAAATAATATATACCAAATATATTTAATATACAGTCTAACCTCTATATAATCACATCTTTGGGATACAAAAACTAGTGATTATATATAAATATGACTATTATAGAATATTCTCTATATAATCACACCTATATTAAAAATAAGGGTAAATCTATTTGTCGCCGGCAGTAACAGTCACCGGAGTATTATTAGCCAATCAAATTGCAAACTATATAAATACAATTCGATATTTTTAAAGTATATATATAGTTTAAATTATAGTTTTTTTATTAGGCAAGACTTATTACAAGTAAGTACTACATAATTTTTTTTATTCATATTATACGTTTCACCACTTCTTTTACTGATGACTCTCCTTCTTTTCGCATCCTCCTTCCTATTATCACCACCCATTTCACATTACTATTTTAATCGACCACGTTATCTTCACCATTTTAACTCTCAATTTTTCATATCCTTAATTCCTCATATTGATCTCCTTTCACCATCAATTGCATGAACTTACTCGTCCTTTTTAAGCACCCTTATAGCAATGATTTCAGAACTATGTTCAATAGATTTCAAGTTCTATTCAAATGATTTTTTATCCTTGGTTGCATTTATGCCATAATCCAAGGTTATTGTATCCACTCATTGGCATTTTTCCACATGTATCTTTCTCAACTCTGATTCTTTTTTCATAACCCTCATCGGCAAATCTTTGACAATCAAGGAATACTTTATGCTCTTTCATTTCAACTCTCATCTCTTTTTGATAACAATTACCAACAGATCCATTATCACACATTCTAGTAAGATTTTTTGTTTCATTTGACGCTTGGGAGCTTTCAGCTTCAAATATATTATTTTTACACTTTAAACTCCAATATTATGATCGATATTGGTCATTTTTTTAGTAAGTTCCATCTTGTGATTTTTTGATGGTAATAAATATTTCATGTTTGTTCGTTTCGACTCCAATTTCATGCTGATAACAGAATCTAGTTCTTTATTCCTTTCAACATTCATTCCATTTTAGTAGCAGAACTTAGGACTATATCATGATTTATATTTGCAGGTTTTTAAAATGAGCGAGTGCTTCATACTAATCTCTTCTAATATCTTCATCCCGATAACAATGACATTCAATGACAAATATTTCAAGATGTTCTGGCAAATCTATTTCAAATAAATTTTTTGGAACCCCTTGTGCTCATCCTTTTTACCTCATCTATCATTATTTTAGAGCTTCTACTGATATCGAAATATATATGTCCATTTCAATTTTAGACTATATTATCTAAGATTATTCATTCCATTCGCATGACTAGCATCAAACTAATTTTCAACAGTGACTATCAATCTATATATCGATTACTATTATTCATATCTATGGATTTTTGATAATAAATGAATTCACTTAACTTGGGATCCAGTTAGATGTTAATCACCATTATTATTCAATCCTTTATCGTTCTTTGAGTTATTTGCACCTTTATTATGTTTGTTATTCTACTGTACAATATATGATTATTATATTCACATCTTCACCTCAGGCTTGTCTTTAATTTTCGTATTTATTGTCATATTTGGCTTCCTTGACCAATTAAATTAATATTCACTATTTTTTTTGCTCTTGATTTGTCTACGCTGACATTTTCACTCTTCCTTCAATTAACTGTCACGTATTCCTTGACACTATCACTCTTTTTATCCACAAACCTAAGGAATCGAACATCTCAAACTTCATCACTTGGACCTGTATTCTTTTTCCTTTACTGATCCTTCTTTTTATTATTCACAGTTAGTACCCACAATGGACAAGACCAAGTTAACATTTGGCCCTTCCTTTCAACAAAAAATTTTGTACCGGATGAGTACGAGCTTAATGTCTTGGCTTCCTATATGTATAACATAAGCATGATATTTATTGTTTAATTTTCTCAACAGTTCAATTAATCAATTGGGGCATAATAAATATGTCAAACCAAAAACCTACATACCAAATGTCATAAGCAGTAAATTAGCTGATCTCTTAAATATAATAAAAAGCTTTTTCATAATAAAAAACTATTTACTTGAATAATTATATATGTCACTCTGTAGTACTATTGAAACTCAATTATAAATACAGCCAGTGATTATATAATTGCAAGTTATAAATTGTTAGTTTATTATAAAAACATAATCTTTATTAATTACTGGTTTGGCTCTTTTTTTTTTTTTATCTCAATTTGATACCATCCTCTATTTATTACAAGTTGGTGCATAATGCCCAACAACTCCACATTTTCCACATTTATTTTGAGGTTTTTTGCTTTTGACTTGTTTAGTACTACTTTTAAACCATTTAACTGAAGACCGCCCTCTATGTCATCTCTTAATTGGATTTTCAACTTGTTCAAGATCTAAATTTTCCTTATTATTGTCAATTTGAGTCAATCTTTTTTCTTTGGCAAACCAGTCATTGAGGCTTCTTTTAAGACGGCAAAGAGATTCACTACTTGCCTCAACTGCAAATTGAATGATCTTTTGAGCAAGGTTAAAAGTTTCTTTATAATCATGTCGTTTCTGGACAGCACGACGAACTTCTGGACCAAAAACATCATTACTACGGATTTTAGCAATCTGGTGCATTGGAAAAAGTGCAGAGCAAGGTAAGCTACTTTCATTAGAAGGTACCAGGCCAGTATTCATTATGTAGGGTTGTTTGTCCAGATGTAAGTCTTGCATTTTTTCATTACTATATCAACGTCTAGAATAAGGGTTATATGAAAAAATGCATTACTATCAGTAGCAAATATATGCCAAAAATGCTGGCAAATCAAACCAGTATTAACAAGTAGTATGCATGTGCATAAATGTAAATAGTTGGTAAGGATAACAACATAGTTAATATAAATACAATGATGTCGTTGAATTTTGTATGTCTTGACAATTTCATTTGGAGAGAGATTCTCCAGAAGAGAGGTCAGGTGAATTTGTTGTGTATTATAGCTTTCTTCAGCATAACTATCATTAAGTAATTCTTCATTTTTTGTTATAGTATAATAGTAAAGTGATTGTGTTGTTTCATGTCTTTGTCAGGAAAGCATTTCCTCAGTAAGATATTTCTTAAGAATGTGGTCAATTTCAGGAAAGCATTTAGCAGAAGCACCCCTTAATTGTGTACTTGTATTTGCATAGTACTATTTATTATATTTAACATAACGTGCTTTATCACTTAACTGCAAGTCCAAAATAGCGGCAAGTTCACAAAGACTAGGATGGCCTTGAAGAACATTTTTTATTATAACATTTTCACTGTTAACATGTGATGTAGATGAAATACCAGCTGTGAAGAATTTATTTGTGTATGCTTTAGCCCATTTTTTTTTGCTAGAGTAAAGCTCAGAATTAAGGTAACTTGCTACCTTGGGGTACGTAATAATAAGTTTATACCATTGAATGCCAAACCCATCAGGAGAAAGATCATTTCGACACAAATAAAAATCTTTAATGAAATCATTAAAGGAACTACTAAGGAGAGCCTTGAGGTTGTGTATAAGATTTTGAGATATATAATAAATACAATAAAGTGGATAAGTATTACTATAATGAATATCTATTGCAGTATCTATTCCGGGGTCAGCATCGGTAATAAAAACTCGAGGGGTGTGATTTGTAGCTTGTAAGATTGAACTAAGAAGCCACTTATAAGTATCTTTGGTTTTATCATTTGCTAATACTTGTACTACAAAATGGCTACAGAAATGATTATCAACTATTATAAATAGAGAAAGTGGCATATTGAATTGGTTGGTTTTATGTGTATTATCATTTAATATAACATCATGGTAAGTAATTCACAATTGGACTTGCTTTGGTGACATTCAAAATACTTTATCCAAACTTTTTGTTTTAGGATGAATCTCCCAAAATACTTCCCATCCCAGTTCTTTAGCTTTTTTGTTAAGTAAATGTTTGAGAAGTTTTGAAGCATCATTTTCTTCCTGATTAGCTATTTTATATTTTTGAATTAAGTTTTGTAGATCACGCAGGTATATCATAATATTAGGAAACTTTGCAGAGAGAAGTCTGCGCTGAATTGTTGCATTAAGATTTCCTTTTGCTGTGTAAAAGCAAATTTCTCATTCAACAGCTTCAGGTAATGTTTGATTTTTGGATGCATACAAATTAGTCTGAAAATCAAGTAGGTGATTATGACTAATATTCAGAGATGTTATGCTAATAGTTGTAGCTTTTTTTGGAAAGGTTACATTAATATGCCAAGGGCACCTAGTGCGTTTTGATTTGCTATTTCGCTGATTTTCTAAGATTACAGACTTTTTAGGTTCATAAGTTCCTTGACGGTCACATGCATAAGTGCATCGCCTATAGGTTTGGTCTAGTGGGGAGCCCCGTTCATTTCTAATTTTAATGACTACAAAGTTTTTTTGTCAGGCATATTTCTGAAGATATTCATCAACCTCCTGCCAAGTTTTAAAAACTTGTCTGACATAAGGTGAAGTTATGATTTGTTGTGAAAAAGAACTAGAATTTGGATTATTTTAAAGTAAAAAAGTCAAAAAAAAAATTTATTTAGATTTGTTAACAGAAATTAATATATTCTATTTTTGCTTCCTTATTTAAGAAATCTATAACTATTTTGGAACTTTAATTTCTTAGAAACTCTACCCTAATTTTAATCAATTTGCTTTAAATACTCTTTAATAAAGAAACTAAAAATAGTTCATTAATATTAATCTACAAATATAGCAAAAAAAATCAAAAATTTAGTACTTTGTAGTGCTAGTAATTAAGCCTTCAGTAATATTATTTGACTGTAGATTATTATCAAACATTGTTATATCATTATGTTGTATATTATCATCTTTATTACTAGACAGTGCAGTTTTATTATTGCTAGGTAGCAAAATTTCATTGTTATTATCAGACTGAGATATTCTTTCATTGGGCAACATTATTTTATTGTAGTTGCTTTAGCTTTGTTTTGTTCTTATTTTAGATTTGCTTTGTCTTTTAGTTTTGCTTTGTTATTGTTTTAGTTTTGTCTTTTTTTTGCTCTAGCTTTGCCTTGCCTTTATATTTGTTTCTTCTTATTTTTATTTAGGCTTTGTCTTGCCCTTACTTTGTGCTCTTTATTTATTATTTTTTTTGTGGTCTTGTTTTTAGTTTTTTGTAGACTTCTAATTAAAGTTTCCATAGCTATGTAAATAAATCATTAAAGCTTGAACTATATAAAAGAATTTTAGACCAAGATACAGTACCTTGCTTAGAAGACAAATTTCTTCCAAATATTGTAACAAAAAACTTGATTGATATGTATGAATATACAGTATAAAAACCTTATAACTACAATCTTTTATCGTTTATCTGTTATAGAGACGAAGTATAATAAGTATATATGTAGCAATATTTTTTTGTTTATACTATAGTATCACCTTACTATCTAAAAATAGTATAACTTAAAGTAATACTTGCATGTGCAGGTCTTATAAATAGTATTATGCGAAAATATAAAAAGAATAATTGTGCTAAATTATAGCTAGATCATATGTATATATATATGTACATACTTATACTTATGTATTCACATGACTGGTGACTATCACCGGTGGCAACAAACATATTTTTCCAATATATTAAATTAATTTAATAAATTTTATTATTAAAGGTGGAGCAAAAGAATTCATTACAAAAACAATTTATTCTGAAGTAGACCAGATCAGAAAGGCTATAGATAGTTATATCAAAACTAATTATAAAAAAGATTATAAAAGATATATACAGAATTAGTAAAATATATATTATACTAAGAATATCTATAAACTAATAAAAAGTTTTTATTTTTTTATATATTATTTTTGTTTTGAACTATTTTAAACTATTTAAAAATATTTTAAAACAATTCAAATTATTTTAATATATTTTTTTTTATTAAATTATTATATTATTAGGTTTTGAAAAAAATTAGATCTATGTAAAGAATATTAACTAATAAGATTAAGACATCTATTTTTTTTGTATTTGATAAACTTTTAGAGCCAATAAATAATAAGGCTTTATCAGATAAGGTTTGAAAATGGAAAAGTTCGAATAAAACAAAAAAATATTATAAACTTTTGTTTAAAAAAGTAGAAGAAGGTTTAAAAAAGATATATATGACTAGAATATTAAAAAAAAATTTGGTCTAATGAAGATGCTACAATTAAAAATATAGTATACACAATAGCAGTAGCCCAAACTATACTAAATCCAAATTATGATAAAATAACAATATCAAATATAGCTATAAAGAAATTGCTTGCAAAAAATTTGGTAAGTATTTATTTATATATGTATTATAAAATTAATAAAACTAATTTAAACTAATTTAAATTGTTTTGAATTAAATAAAAGAAATTAAAATATAGCAAAGCATTTTCTATTTTAAGTTTCAAAGTCAAAACTAGTTCTGAAAAAAGCTGAGAGTGAGGAATGATTTCTGGATTGGGGTTTGGTTGATGAGAAAAGTTAGGAAAGAAAATTCTGAGAGTGATTTTAGAAGCAAGTGATAAAGGAAGTTCATCAATAATTTTGTTGAATCTTTGTTTAGAAATAATTAGAGACATATCTATAAGTAAGGTTCAAGTTGGTTGTTGTTAGGGTAGGGAGATTTTATAAAATTTTGAGATAAAGTTTGTACGAACAAATATATGTTTTAAGTGCAAGTTGAGTAGATAAATAAAAGTAGTGGTATTTTTTGTTGTTTTTATCTTTGCAAAGTTTTGGATTAGTGTTAATAGGAAGAATATGAAAAGTTTTAGATTTGTTTTCTACTATTGCAAGACCATGGCAATTAGAGTACCTAAAGTACTAGTAGTCAAGATCAAAAGAATCAGACTTATTAGAAATAAGAGTAGGCATATTAAGATATATTTATAATATAAACTAAAAAAGAAAAATATTTTTTGAATTTAGCAAGTTATAGAAGAAATTTGTTTGAAAAATATGTTTGGTAATAATAAATCAGGTTTAAAAAATAA